TGTAAAAAGTAACATGTCTAATTTTGATTTATGAGACAACTTGGTTAGCAGTTGGGTTTAGACTGTTGGTCAATTACCATGGACCTTTGGCCTTTATTAGACTTTATAAATATCTCACCACTCTTGTCCAATTTCATCTAAGTTTGGACCCTTTTTTCAAAAAAATCATCAAAAAGTAGACCATTTGCCCCTTTTGTGAAATTTAATCAGGTCCTCGCACTCAGCTATTGGGTAGGGCCAGATAACCATTAAAGCATAATCATGTGTTCAATGTGTTTCTATTAAGTTATGTCTGCAGATCAAATGGGACTTTGTACCATCTATGATCAGATCCCCAGTTAGTCAAGGCCAAATTGTGAATAAAGTTTTACAGATCAAAGTGGACTCAAAGCTTGCCAGCTTCGATAATTTTCCAGTTGCAGTCAATTATCAGGGAGCATTGACCAATGTGTAACATCAGTTTGTATAAAGATTTGCAGGGTAAGTGGGGTATATTTCTGCGACAAACTATGATCAGCTTCTGACCAAGAACATTGTTTATTTAAGGATGCACTCAGCAACATGCTTTATGCAGTATAGTTCATCTCGTATGTAACTCAAAAACTATTGATGGGAAGTGTATAAAGGTATACATTTTCTGGCTGAAAATGACCTGTTAAATCCATTGAACACATACAATTTGGACAACAATTTATCATTTTTTTTACCCATTTTTTTCGACCACCATAAATAAAATATCCTTGCAACAAAAAATTATTTTCCTAGTGTCCAAAATATAACTCACAATGTACCAAAAATATAATAACCAAGTTTGAACTTATGAGTTGGGGCTATAAAAAAAGTTCTAGGGCCTAATTACAAAAAAACGTTACTAGATTTTATAGTAGGTACAATGTATTCTGTATGAAATCTTAAATCAGAAATGTTTTATTTTTTAGTCCTGAGGGTTCAAAACTCATATAAACTATAAAAATGAAATGGCTGAAATTATGATTTTATGCAGAAACATGGATTTTCAGTTGCATTTTCAATCTCATCTTGAAAACCCCAAGATCCTGTGTCTCGATCCTGACTTTGGTATACGGTTGCCGACAATATGCTGCATCCGATGGTACATTAGACATTTTTTCCAATTGAATTTATATGGATTTGAGAGTAAACGTCCACATGGTCTCACCATCTGTTTACATTGCTTGCTGTTTCCATGGGCGTTGTGTCACGTAGATAGATTGCGCGGATATTGCACATCGTGTTGCAATGTGACGGGGACACGTAGCATGCATCGCATAAGGACACTGAATTTTGCGTTAAAAAAGGTTTCATCTGTAGTTTTGTTAGATTTTAAACCTGAAAAGGGTCCACAAAACAGTTTTTGATGGTTCAATGTTTATATTAGCATCACAGAATTTACTGACATGATGGAACAGAGTTTGAAGATAGCAAAAAAAAAAAATCATTTAAGGGTATGGCAAACTTTGACGTTGCTGGGTGCATCCTTAAGTTGTAGGTAATTACATGTTTTAAGATGTTAAAAGTTGTGTAGATCAAATGGGGACTTTGCAGGCCAACCTTGATTATTACCTCCCGGCTGGTCGTCCTAGGAATTGAATAGCCCATGTATAAAGGTTTTCAGCTTAAACGGGGACATATGATGCTCACTTGTGTTGACCCAGCTGGGGAGATAATAAGAGTTAGCCCAAAGTCCCTTTGCAAACATGAGATGCTCCATTGCATTTCTCCAATCTGTGATCTGATCAAACTTGTTAAGGTACTATGCCCATTCAAGTTTGATATCTCCTCATTTGGCTGGGATCAGAAGCATCTTCGTTCCTGTACTGTGTAGAGTAGCAACTCATTTACACAAAGTTGGTGGGGGTTTGGATTTAGGTTTGTGTTATCAGGATAGAATGAAATTTACAAGAACACCTTGGAAATTGAATTCCTCTTTGTATTATTTGGAACTTTGTGTTAAGAAAAGGGTTTGCAAGAACGAGTTGCCACTGTATGAGGTAATTTGTTGGTCAAACAGCGACTTATGGGTCAGCTTTGATAAGCTACAGAGTTGGTCACCTCCAATCTTGCATATACCATTGAGTGTATTCAATTTTTCATCCAGTGTTGTTTTGAACAGTTTTATAGTTTTACATACATGTACACAATCTATATAAAGTTCTGAAATGGATAGTGCATGCAAGAGTGTTTTGTTCATATATGAAAATGTGACATATTACAAATTTACCCTTGGTTCAGTTTGTTGTTATGAATTTCTGATGTTTGTGTTTGTTTTTGTTTTTTGTAAAGAGTGAGTTAAATGTCTTAACAAGACATGTTCTCATGCAATGCAATCAATGCAATCAATTGTTAATCTTTTCCTGTTATGTGGAAAAAAATGTGTATGCTTTAAGTAATGAATACCCTTTGTTTCATCACAACTTCTGTAGTGACATCACCTGCAAAGAACACTTTTTCTGGGTTTGAATTCCAAGCGTGATGACCACCGCCAATTATAAGTGTGGGTTCTGCTTCTAAAGGAACATTAAAAAAATAGTTTTTATTGAATTGAATCTTGTCTTCCTGATGATTTATAAAATATTTTAGATGGGAATCTGTAGATGAGTTATACAACAAATGATAAATGTTTTATTCATCGGATAGAATATTTTCATTTTAGTGGAAGATTGGCCGTTCCGCCAGCTCCTGGTATGGTGCAACTAATCTTTCACCTCATGAAAATATTCTTACCAGAGCACTCTCAAATTATATGTATAACATTTTGTTATTTGATGTAGCTAGTATGAGCAATGTTGTAATACATTTGTTAGTTGTGTATTAAAATGTAACCACTAGCCTGTATTAAACAGTATATCATATTATAATAGTTAGATCAGGTATATACAGTTTACAATTCACCGTTCATAGTGTACATGTTAAAAAAGTTGATTGTTCAGTATCATTGCAGTTAAATGCTGGTTGACCAAAATTTGTGGAATGGCTGGTATTTCAGAAAAGGAGTTGAAACAGAAGGTCAGGTTTATCATTGAAGAAATATTATTTGGGCAAAAGCTGTTTTATATCAAATTCATTCTAAAAATAAATCATGTTTTGTATTATAGGTATACCTACACTACATTGTACATTACTCTGTATTTTACCAAAACGTCTGTAGTGACAAGCTACAGAGTTGGTCAACTCCAATCTTGCATATACCATTGAGTGTATTCAATTTTTCATCCAGTGTTGTTTTGAACAGTTTTATAGTTTTACATACATGTACACAATCTATATAGAGTTCTGAAATGGATAGTGCATGCAAGAGTGTTTTGTTCATATATGAAAATGTGACATATTACAAATTTACCCTTGGTTCAGTTTGTTGTTATGAATTTCTGATGTTTGTGTTTGTTTTTGTTTTTTGTAAAGAGTGAGTTAAATGTCTTGACAAGACATGTTCTCATGCAATGCAATCAATTGTTAATCTTTTCCTGTTATGTGGAAAAAAATGTGTATGCTTTAAGTAATGAATACCCTTTGTTTCATCACAACTTCTGTAGTGACATCACCTGTCAGGTTTATCATTGAAGAAATATTATTTGGGCAAAAGCTGTTTTATATCAAATTCATTCTAAAAATAAATCATGTTTTGTATTATAGGTATACCTACACTACATTGTACATTACTCTGTATTTTACCAAAATGTCTGTAGTGACATCACATGCTTTTCGTGCGTGCTTCATGATCGTTAAGATAAGGTGATTGAATAGGCATGGACAGGTTGATACGCTTGGAACGCAAACTAGTTGACGTCACTACAAATGTTTTGTGAAACAAAGGGTATTGTCGTCGTATTCAAATTTGAATTTAGATTCTCTGTAGGGCCCACCAGTGGGAATAGCCCAGCACCCATAGACAGTCAAAATGAAGAATGATGTGCAAAACTATAATGCTGGTTGAAGAGATGAATGATCACTATGTCTGGTTTGTCGTCTACGTCGGACTATAACCCAACTCCATGGACAATGTGACCTATTATCTGACATGAAAGTGATAATTTAAAATGTCTATATGTAGTCCATTTTCCAACAGTTTTGTTTGACTGTATTTCTTTGCCCAATACTTTTGTACAAAGAAGACAAGATTAGCACAAAAGTGATGTATTGGTCATGTTTTGATGTTACTATCCATCCACTAAAATGTAATGTTTATATGTTCATAACATATCACTTTGTAACCCGAGTTCTATACAAAAATGAAATGGATTATGGAATTCGGAATCCTGGGTTCAGAACACAAATATGCTGATACTTTCCACTTGCTTTTATTAACAAATGTAACTTTCATTCTTTAAATTAAGATCTTGATTAAAGAGACACGGGCATATTTGGGAAATATTTGTCCAACTCTGATATTTCTGTTGCGATCTTATTTTGATGTACACATCTTGACTGCCCAGCACGCCATTCCAAAGTGGATATTTTCAAAGCAGATACTAATGCCCTCGCTGGGACTGAAGGTTTTTGTAGGGATTTTAAATAAAATGTTATTATTCAGATCCATATTCATGCCGCCTTTAAAAGCAAAATCACCACTTACGATTTTTTTTTTTTTTAACAGCTTGAAGCGAAATACATTAGTTTTTTATCATGTCAGATTTCAATTTTGTAACATCTAAACATGAAAATTAAGGTTTTGCAAAAACGCTATTCAGAAGCTTAGTACTCAAACTCTTTCTTGTGTATACCAAATTATGATAGAGGTAAATATTAATGTTATGTAGTTTGCTACTCCAATTTCAATATTGCAACACCATGATTCACTTTTATATGGGAATTTTTGTTTTTAAAGGTCACTGGGGGCTGATTTCACTGCAAAAGAAGGCATGAATATGGGTCTAAACAATCCCCAAGTTGCGAGTAACTCCTCTCCTACCATACCTGTATAACAGCCCACCTATGTGTTCGTTGTCCTCTGAACTGAGATGTATCATGTTTTGTTGGAACCTTGTTTTATAAGCCTTATTTTTTCAAAGTTGTCTTTAATAATAAAAACAGTTTTGCTGTATTTGAAAGGCATGTCGAAGTATTTTATTTTATATTAAAGGGGCATCTCATGTTTTTATGATTTTATTCCGGCTTATCTTGATACTCCACCATGTGAATGAAACAAGGTCGTAACTGACATTTTGGGCACAAATTAGTTTTCTTTTTATTTTGAAAGAATTAAATATTCATTTTTTAAATTAGACTTCAAGTCTCAAATTTAAACAGTTTTATTTTATAAAAGAAAGAAGATGGTAAGAGACAAAGAAAACAAAGTTGAACACAAAATGGCTTCTCCCGCAAAATGAAGAAAATGTAGATACGACCTTTGTTGCATGCACATGATGACTTATAAGTTTGCAAATGGTTGGTTTTTGACATATTCACCTGAAAAACAACAATATGGTAATAAGACTATCTTGGAAACACTTAGGAGGCATTAGATAGGATTTTTAGATAGGGTTTTTGCAAGTTTGTTCGTCAATCTGATAAATCTTCAGAAAACCTGTTACACTATGTTTAAGCATGATACACTCGCCAATTATACGATTTACTGGATTGATACAGCTATATTCACTATTAGTTATTTGATTTGAGAAATTTATTATGAAATGATTTCGTTCTGTGAACGGAAAGAAATTAAAATGTTCATACATTTTAGGATTTCTATCGTGAACATGTAGATCTGCAGAACAGGTGGCGAAGGTTTCAGATGGCATCAAAATCTGGGGTGGTTTTGTATAAATCCGGGGGGGGGGGGGAATGTTGTGGATCACGAAATGCCCCTTTAAATGTCTTTGAGTTGAAACATTTGAACTTGTCAATGAAGCAGCTGTGCTGTGCTATGTCCCGACCCTTTGAACCATAATGTAGGCACCCTTTTTCACCTGACAGTTATTATATTTAAAATGAAGACTTATAAGGAGAAGAAGTACCCGATTCACAAAATACTAGTTCATTTTGGAAAATGGCGTCGTAAACAAATTACCACCACGTTTAAATTTGTCATGACCTGTTTTCATGCACTCCACATACCTACTGTAAATTTCAGCTCTGATGACAAAATGAATGTGGTGTTTTGTTTTGTTTTCGGCCCCGGCTGGTTGGTGATGTAGCACTAGACGCATGAAAAGTGGGTTAAATACACCCTGAAATAAAGAAGTCCACGTTTTGACAGGAAGAAAAGCAGGTCCACGTTTTCATGTAGGGGTCAAGCGTTACCCAAGGTCCACAGTTCACAACATCGAGCCCTCGGTTACATTAAAGTCCACAGTAATTTTGTACTATTGAATCAGAAAGAGATTTAAACATGTTACTAAAAGGAATTCCTTTTTTTTCCAAACGAAGTTTTTAAATGAGAAATTTTGTACTAGTCATTTCCAAGTCAACATTATCAAAATACACCCTGAAATAAAGAAGTCCACGTTTTGACAGGAAGAAAAGCAGGTCCACGTTTTCATGTAGGGGACAAGCGTTCCCCAAAGCCCACAGTTCACCACATCGAGCCCTCGGTTACATTAAAGTCCACATTAATTTTGTAATATTGAAATCGGGAAGAGATTTAAACATGTTACTAAAGGGAATTCCTTTTTTTTTTCCAAATGAAGTTTTTAAATGAGAAATTTTGTACTAGTCATTTCCAAGTCAACATAAAAAAACACCCTAAAATTAAGAAGTCCACGTTTTGACAGGAAGAAAAGCAGGTCCACGTTTCATGTAGGGGACAAGCGTTCCCCAAAGTCCACAGTTCACCACATCGAGCCCTCGGTTACATTAAAGTCCACATTAATTTTGTAATATTGAAATCGGGAAGAGATTTAAACATGTTACTAAAAGGAATTCCTTTTTTTTTCAAAATGAAGTTTTTAAACGAGAAATTTGTACTAGTCATTTCCAAGTCAACATTATCAAAATACACCCTGAAATAAAGAAGTCCACGTTTTGACAGGAAGAAAAGCAGGTCCACGTTTTCATGTAGGGGTCAAGCGTTACCCAAAGTCCACAGTTCACAACATCGAGCCCTCGGTTACATTGAAGTCCACAGTAATTTTGTACTATTGAAATCGGGAAGAGATTTAAACATGTTACTAAAAGGAATTCCTTTTTTTTCTCCAAATGAAGCTTTTAAATGAGAAATTTAGTACTAGTCATTTCCAAGTCAACTCCAAAATACACCCTGAAATAAAGAAGTCCACGTTTTGACAGGAAGAAAAGCAGGTCCACGTTTTCATGTAGGGGTCAAGCGTTACCCAAAGTCCACAGTTCACCACATCGAGCCCTCGGTTACATTAAAGTCCACAGTAATTTTGTAATATTGAAATCGGGAAGAGATTTAAACATGTTACTAAAAGGAATTCCTTTTTTTTTTTCCAAATGAAGCTTTTAAATGAGAAATTTAGTACTAGTCATTTCCAAGTCAACATTATCAAAATACACCCTGAAATAAAGAAGTCCACGTTTTGACAGGAAGAAAAGCAGGTCCACGTTTTCATGTAGGGGACAAGCGTTACCCAAAGTCCACAGTTCACATCATTGAGCTCTCGGTTACATTGAAGTCCACATTAATTTTGTACTATTGAATCGGAAAGAGATTTAAACATGTTACTAAAAGGAATTCCTTTTTTTCCAAATAAATTTTTAAACGAGAAATTTGTACTAGTCTTTTCCAAGTCCACATCAAAATACACCCTGAAATAATGAAGTCCACGTTTTGACAGGAAGAAAAGCAGGTCCACGTTTTCATGTAGGGGACAAGCGTTACCCAAAGTCCACAGTTCACAACATCGAGCCCTCGGTTACATTGAAGTCCACAGTAATTTTGTACTATTGAAATCGGGAAGAGATTTAAACATGTTACTAAAAGGAATTCCTTTTTTTTCTCCAAATGAAGCTTTTAAATGAGAAATTTAGTACTAGTCATTTCCAAGTCAACTCCAAAATACACCCTGAAATAAAGAAGTCCACGTTTTGACAGGAAGAAAAGCAGGTCCACGTTTTCATGTAGGGGTCAAGCGTTACCCAAAGTCCACAGTTCACCACATCGAGCCCTCGGTTACATTAAAGTCCACAGTAATTTTGTAATATTGAAATCGGGAAGAGATTTAAACATGTTACTAAAAGGAATTCCTTTTTTTTCTCCAAATGAAGCTTTTAAATGAGAAATTTAGTACTAGTCATTTCCAAGTCAACATCAAAATACACCCTAAAATAAAGAAGTCCACGTTTTGACAGGAAGAAAAGCAGGTCCACGTTTTCATGTAGGGGACAAGCGTTACCCAAAGTCCACAGTTCACCACATCGAGCCCTCGGTTACATTAAAGTCCACAGTAATTTTGTAATATTGAAATCGGGAAGAGATTTAAACATGTTACTAAAAGGAATTCCTTTTTTTTCTTCCAAATGAAGCTTTTAAATGAGAAATTTAGTACTAGTCATTTCCAAGTCAACATCAAAATACACCCTAAAATAAAGAAGTCCACGTTTTGACAGGAAGAAAAGCAGGTCCACGTTTTCATGTAGGGGACAAGCGTTCCCCAAAGTCCACAGTTCACCACATCGAGCCCTCG